GGTCCACTGATCGTGTAGTACACGTTGTGCATGCCTGAGGAATCTGACACAATCTACAAGAGAAAACACATATATTCCTACATATACAAGAAAACAACAAAAACAAACAAGGATTCTGTTTTTCATAAACCATCTACCAGAGTTAAGGCAACCCTCTGTGACCTATTTCAAATTGTAATACTTCAAAATGGATCAAGAGAATGGGGTGAGGGGGAAAAAAAAAACGTGATTCCTTGATATCCTAAGGCAGATTCCAACGGACAGTCTGGTAATGCAGGTGAAAAAACATCAAAGGACTAAATCAGTACATAAAGTCAGCCGAAAGTAATGTAATTAATAGGTGTGTCTGGGTGTGTGAATCAGATTATCTGGGAAAAAAGATCATGTGAGTAAAACAAAAATAATCTGTGAACTTGTATTTCCAGTAAAGACTTGAAAGTCATGCAGTGTGAAGCTGATATAGCCTACTATCTTAGAGTAGCTTGTGTTTTCAACATTAAAATTACCTTTTCAATGTCTTTTGGAAAAGGTCCCGCGTCATTCTCTAATATGTTGAAGGGTGGGGGACTCCATCTTCTTTTGGAGCGCTTCAGGAAGCCTTGGCCTTTGTACTGTGGCATGCAAATGAAGGGATTTTTTTTAAGTCCCATGTGTACCATTCTGGCCTGTATAAACAAGGTTTACTGCACAGTAGTTTTACCTCTCTCTTCTGGAGTTGTCTGTGGACAAGGTGAACTTCTATCTCACTTTCCGGTCCCCTGCCGTCGTGAGCCCACACAGAAAATGTCCGCCCTCTTGTTGCCACAGATACAGTATTTACAGCCACTATCTCCCCATTTGTCTTTATTGTAAAACTCGGGTCCTTCAAACTGAAGTGCAGTGAGTTGGTGTCGCAGTCGGTAAGTGTAACTGAAAGGCGAGAAAGAAAAGGTTAAGGAAAGGGAGGTACAAAACAAAAGCCAAAAAGCCATTACAGGAAAGGGTTCCAGGTGAAGTGGGTAAAACGGTTACATAACGAGTTAATGAACAGATTATCAGAAAAGTACCTTTTGTGACTTCGTATCCAACCGGAATTGTTTGTGGCACAAGCACATAGAGATTGTTCGGGATAAAACACGAGTCCACACAGGATAGGACCTGAGGTAGAGTCGTTCTTATAGTGAGTTTCAGTTTATAGTGAGTTTGTTAATATAAATGAAAGGTGTCCCATTAACAGCAAATAACATTAGGCTATAACTATATTTCGTTGTAGTGTTGACAAGTTTAAAAGTAAAAGCGTTACATTTGTTTTAATAAAGACTTATGTTTTAGTACAGTGGATACTTAAAAAGAAAAAGAGACGGAACTTACCATCATCAGGCAAATGCTGAAAATTAAAACATTCGCCATTTTTGAAAACTTTTGATGCACTCCTGCTCTGCGGGAGGAAGCGAGCTAGACTCCTCCGAAAGCGAATCGTCCAGAAAGTGACAGTTGATTGATTTGTGACTCCGTTTAAAGCCGAAAAGGACAAACTCGCCTGTCCCTGCACTTGTGCTCTCTGTGGGAACAGGCAGGGTTTACCGAGAGCCCTGGTATCTGTCTGTCGCTACTGGCACTGACTCAAACGACCGACACACCTAGGCTGCCACACCCAGACTGTCAACCTCCCTGGTACGATCAAAAGGCGAAGCACCTTTGGGCTGTGCTCTGGGATGTGTCGCTATTGTACTGAACACGTCAACTCCTTAAAGTTTTCAAATATATATATTTTTTCTGCCAGCAGGGGGAAACATTGTCTAAGTCTTTTGCCAGCTAAAGTGACTCCGTAATCAATTTTCATACTGTTGCAACACACCAGAACGAAGCCAGACACCATATAATTCCCCATGGAAGAGTTATGGTTTCATCCTATGAGATACAAATGCCTATAAAAGCGATAAAGAGTCTTAAAGGAACAATGCCATGTCTGTCAAAGCTGAGCAGGTGCTCTTGAAGATGTGTAAGCTGAAGATAGATAGATGAAGTCATTTTTATTAGAAATCATCTATTCTATTTTTATTTATTTTTTACATTTTTACATTTACCCTTGGGATTATTACTTGTTTGTGTATCTGCTTGTCTTTCAAAAGTATCTGGCTTAAGAAACCTCACCCAGGTCCACACAGAGATTGACCCCTGCATGCCCCTCCTTTCTCCTCTGCAGCTCTGCCCGTAGGAGGAACAGAACTGGGCTCCTCACTAAACACCACAGGAATGTGAGCTGAGTGAAGCCTGGTGTGGGGGAGGCTTCGCTCCCACAGCGAAGCGCTCACTATCTCTATAAACTTCTGATAAACGAGAGAGTGGCCAGAGAACACTAGGCCTGTGTCCTTAGCAACATATTCCCATTTTCATCTAGTGTAATGCCGTAGAGCTTGTTAAAAAGTAAATTGGGAAGTCCCAAAACATGGGACTGCAACAGGAAAGGTGAGAAAAATGTCAGGAAGACAGTGTTGTTGTGAGTCATGGGTGTGGACATAATGAAAGAGGCTGAGAGTCTTAACAGTAATTCAAGACAGACTCAGCAAAATACCCTCCTGTCTCTCCCAAGCTAAAAATGAAAGCAGGTTGTTGTTGCACTCCAGCTTCAGTGTGCACAGAGCACAAAGTGTAAGTGTGTGTGAACAGATAAACCTGTTGTGTTGCTGCTAATTCGTCTGATGACACTGTCTGACCTCTCCGTCCCGTATGTTATGAATAGTCACAATAGACATGTTTTAGTTCCTGAAATCAACCAAAGTTTTACTTTTCTGCTGAGTAGCACAGTTTAAAGAAAGCCATTCCTTTGAATTTATACAGTTTGTCTGTTTGTCGTCATAGGTATTGTACTCTGTGGCAATATGATGTTAGGAAATCTTGTGTGGAACTAACCATCTGCATGACGCTAAGAAAATATGTGTCAAGCCAGAACAAATGCTTGCAGATGTTTTCAGGTAATACGTTTAAAAAGATCAAAAACTAGTATGAATGCAGCTGTTGAGTTTATGACAAATATATCCTAGAGGCAAGGAAGTTTTGCACCTAAAGCAGCTACTCCACCAATGCCACCACTCCCTTTGGATGAGTGCCAAATGACAGGCAGGGTGGAGCATACACGTAATGTGTGAGGGTTAGTATTTGGGTGAGACAAATTGCTTGGTGGTGTTTTTTTTTCTTTTTTGTTGAGTGGTGTGACAAATGGCTTTTGATTATTAGTGTGTATTTTGTAATAGTCATATCCATTATTATTACTTGAATCAAACAGTCTATGACAACAACCCTGCAGTAACTATTAACAAAATGAAGGATATACAGTATGTTCAAGCATTGTTGAAAGTGTTTTACAGAGTGGTTGACTCAACTTTATAGTCAATTTATGCTATGGAGTAGTACTGTGATAGACTGAGAAGTTTTTCTGTGTAGCCTTTCCTCATTGATATAAATGGAGCACACCAAACTGCAGCTTCCAAAATGATCTAAAAGAGTTTCAACAAAACAACAACATTATAAATACTTGAGGGTGGGATTTATCGCAAATCATATCATATTAGACCACATTCATTTTAGGGAGGTGTACTTAATAAACTGACAACTGAGTGTAAACGCTGTATAGACATACTCACAAATACACAATTTATTCTTGATCTGGATGGTCTATATGAATTATTTTTCGATTCTGCTCCCAAGAACATTTCCTTGTCTGCTTAAAGTTGTTATGCCCTACTGTTTTAATATGGACTAATACGTTGCATGATTGCAACTAAAGCTTAAGATAACGTCCTTATTATTTTTCTGCACATATAAACCAGTATATACAATTGGTCAGTCAAAAAAAAGGCTGTTACATGTCCACCAACAGTATGATGGTACCTGAGGCAATGTTGTTAGAATTTTTTCTCAGCACACTGACATGTTGACATTTGACGTCCTCCATAAGCAGTTTGGTCACTCAGACTGGACAGATATATGACTCACCCAGCTCATATGACATGTTTTCATACTAGACTCACTGCTGCATTTCAGAATAAAACTTTTGTATCATTTTAATGATCTCAGTCAAAAGCTACCAACTCTTTTCCCCTATAGTCTCTGTAATGAATGTGGCAGAGATTTGACAAACGCATAACTATAAGTGGAATTGTTTCTTCCTCTCTTTCTGTCACTTTTTCCAACGTGCACCTTTTTATTGTTTCTTTTGCATACGCTTCCATCGAAACCATTGTACTGCTTGTATTTTTGGGCGTTGTCTAATCAGGCCTATATGAATAATGAACTATTGCTAAAGCAGTCACTCACTGTGGCTAAAATAAATTCCAGTGAAAATGGAGTAAAATTGTCAGATTATTACATCATAATCTCTGTCGAAAGTAATTGCCTAATTCTGTGAGATGAATCCCATAGTGTGTGATATTTCTGACACACCTTTGACTTCAGGTGGTAAAAGCTTCATGAATCTTGCCTATATGCAAATTCTCACCATGCACCTTTTTCTTCATCTCCTTTGTGTGTTTGTCACCACACACACACACACACACACACACACACACACCAGTCCATTATGCAGCTGAATGTCTACAACCCAGAAACAGAGGTGTATAGCCCACTCCTTGGGAATTTCACACGTGAAGCGAAAGTCTAACAGATAAGTGAGAAAGTTGATGGAAAAAAGGACTCTGGTATATTTTAAACAAACCGAATACCAAAATCAAACATAGCAGACTTAATCCCCAAACTTAAGATGGAAATGTTATCATCATCATTTCACACATTGTCACTTCAGATCAACAATTAAACATGACCAACTGGTTTAAACACAATTAGTTGCCAGCTCAGGAGCGGTTTCCTCGGAGGTTTAGTCCACCTTTACGCGTGTGTGAGTGCGCGTTATTTTTTTTTCTTTAAAGACAATAGGCTGCACGCAAACATTGCAGCTATGCGGGCCGTGGACAAAACCACCCCCTCTCTCCGCCTGTTATCAGAAGTGAGCAATCAAACCGAGCGAGGAACCGCCTATATGTAATATTTCAACTCAGCCTCAGAGGGGTCAAAGTCGACACGAAAGCAACAATAGACCACAGACGATTCCACTTCAACAGGAGGATCAGTAAAGTTTTAGACATTTATTTTCAAGCTGATGGCTCCACTGCTGAAATGCGCCGTTTTCATCCTGCTGGCGATCTTCCTAACGGTAAGTAAACGAGTCAGTATGTTCAACATGTTGTTCGATTCGTTCGGCTTTGTCAGAATAGCGGATTTTGAACAGGTGTGGCCCTTCTCTATTTGCCGTGTGGAGGTAACCTCGTCAGATGCTTTGCAGCCTGTAGACTAAAAGTTAAAGCATTGAGTATCCAGTTGAAGATTAACGACAGAAAAAAGTAAATGCGTAGTTTCCGTATTTACTCTCTCTTACTGTGCTGGAAGGTCACTGGGCAGCTCTTTCTTTATTTCCTCTTCAGCAACACAGCTTTTCACAGGCATTACCCTGAATATTGGATTGGGGGGGACTACAGGGGCACAGTCTTGATCTCTTCCAACTATTGGGTGGAAGTTTTTTTTGAATCACATTGTCAGATTAGAGGAAGTTTTTAACTTTGAGACAATTTAGATGTACATGGTAACATGGATGATGATATTAAATATTATATGTTCTAGCTTTAAAAGACTTTCAACCTTGAAATTGAAGTTTTATTGACAACAATAAATGAGCGCACATTTTGTGTGTGTGTGTGTGTGTGTGTGTTTGTTTGTTTGTTGTTGGGCCTAACCTCTTATGATGTAAAGGAAAAACCAGTGTAAACTGATGGCATATGGGTATTAGTCAGGAGCAACAATACACCATATGATTTTGTAATCATTACACATTATTATTAATAATACATTTTTCCCCTATTTGTTTACCCGCAGTCAGTTCCGGTGGAGGCAGAAGGAAATGACTTACACAGACAGAAAAGAGAATGGATCCTGGCCCCCAGGAAGCTGAAGGAGAACATCGATTACACCGGCTTGCAGTTTATTGCTAAAGTGTGTATTGAAAAATTCTTTTAAAATTGAATACCCTAATTCTTCATTTGCATCATCTGAAAATATACAGAATATTGAATGTGTGTTTAATGTAGGTACAGCAACATTGCATTCCTTCAAATATTTATGATGTAGACAGGTAACGTGTATTTTACACCTCACTGCTTTAATCCTTTGTTTTTTAAAGCTTAGTTTAGGCTAAGTGCGTGTGTGTGAGAACATCTATCTCTTTGGCCAAATTCCATGTTCTTAACAAGTCAGTTCAGATCTGGGACATGATCATATACATGTTTTTGTTCACACTCTTATATGCCCACACCTCTGTTTGATGTTCTAAAGCTAAACAAGTTTAATATCTCAGCTAGATATCTGCCAACTGTCGTTATTCTCATCATAGCAAAAACTGTCTGGATGCCAAACCTCAGCTTGGGTATATATCACATATGTCACTTGCTTGCATTTGCATGATTTGAATGACGTTTGAAATTACATCTCATAGAATACAGTTGGGAAAAGACAACATGTTATTTTTATAATGAAAACTTCCAGTAAATAAGCGACTTTTAGACTTTTCATTGTGAATTGAAAGTCACAGATGTCCAAATCAGGCACATAAATTTTGCGTTTCCGTATTTGTGTTTCAGATTCACTCTGACAAGGCAAGCAAACAGTCGAAGATATTATATTATCTAACAGGGCCCGGTGTTGATGAGCCACCTCAACATAGATTTTCTATCGACGCTCAAACTGGCTATGTGAAAGTCAATGTCATTCTGGATCGAGAAGATATCGCCTTCTATCATGTAAGAGCACTTATAAATCCCGTTTGTAAAGTATGAGGCATTTCTGGTCACGTGCTCAGTGAGGAAATGGTAAAGTGGTTCTGATATCTTTTCTTGCAGTTGAAAGGTAGTGCAAAATACATCGACGGGACCCCCGCTGAAAATGATATTGACCTTAAAATTACCGTGGAGGATGAGAATGACAACCCACCAATCATTCAAGCAAAGCAAGTCGGATTTGTCAATGAATCCAGTGCAGCAGGTATTTTAAGACATGTACATTATATTGGTGAAATGGCTCCTGAAAAGAAAATGATTTTTACCGGTACGTAATCATCTGTATTTAATCTGTATATTTAATTTGCTTTGGTGATTCCTAGGTACTTTTGTCATGAAAGTGATAGCTACTGATGCTGATGAAGCGAACACAACCCGATCCAAGATCTACTACAGCATTGTGGAGGAGAGTAGCTCAGCTGGGATGTTCTACATCAACTCTCAGACCGGGGAGGTCATAGTTAAAAGGAACACTCTTGATAGGGAGGTGAGGCACTTTACCCACCCCTGAAGTTTCTTGAAACTCTTTGTCCAGTACAACCAATTATATTTATTGTAAAAGCTTGCAACACATGGTGAATCTCACATTCACACTTTACAGGCCTTTTGCCATCAGCACTTATTTTCGTGAATATGCCTCTTATCAGTTCAGGTGTGGCCTAATAGGTCAAGGGGCTAAGTCCCGCCTTCCTGGAACTGGGCAAAAGTCACGTTTTCAACAGTATGGATATGTCAATTTAGCATCACCACACAAGATAAACATGTTCTATTTTCCACCAGAAACATAATTCCCTGTTGGATCACAGGCAGTGAGAAAGAAAGAAAGGAAGAAAGTGAAAAAAAATTATAAATTTTTAGAAATATTCAACCAAATATTAAGACAGAATCATAGTCACGTTCATCAACAAGTTATGGGAAACTAAAAACTAGAAGGCATTAATCTCTGATCTTTTCTTTTTCTTTTTTTTTCAAGACGAAAGCTACATATACGTTGACTGTCAGTGCCACTGACATGGAAGGGCAAGCAATAGGAAAAACAGGAACCGAGCAAATTGAGATCAAAATTCTGGACATAAACGACAATGTTCCAACCCTGGAAAAAGAAACGGTAGGGCTGACACAATTGTCACAATTAAAAACTCTTGTCTTCTGTTTTTATTTTTTTTAAATTTAAGCATAACTTTGCATGTGCATTTTACTTGTAGTATGAAGGGAGTGTGGAAGAGAACACCATTAATGTGGAAGTGATGAGGATCAAAGCCATTGACATGGATCTGATTCACACTGACAACTGGCTGGCTGTCTTCGAAATCATTTCAGGGAATGAGGCAGGCTATTTCAGTATCACCACTGATAATAAGACCAATGAGGGAATTATCATGATTCACAAGGTAAAAAAAATTGTACTCTGATTTTGATGGACTATGTAACCATATACAGTAAAATGAAGAATTTGATTCAGTCAGCAGAGAAATTCTATTATGAAACGTGTACTGCATATCCTGTGCATTATCCTTTAATCTACAGGCCCTGGACTATGAGCAACTAAAGATGCTCAACTTGGAAGTGGCTATTTCCAACATAGCAAAGTACAATTTGGGGACAACCACCTCAACCACAAAATCCTACCCCATTAAAATCAATGTGATCAATCAGAAGGAAGGCCCCCGTTTCCAACCAACTACCAAAGTGGTGTCTGTCTCTGAGGGCAACGATTCCGTCTTCATCAACAAAATCATCACCAATTACGCTGCTATTGACAGTGACACACTACAGAAAGCCACCAACGTAAGGTATGGCCTCAAAGAGTAGTGAAAGACCTTACTAAACAACTCTTTGTGTGTCTGAATTGATTTATTGTACATGAGTGCCTTTTTTTTTTTTGTCCTCACATGTACGGATTTTCAATCTTTCAGGTATGCAAAACTCTATGATGAGGACAACTGGTTGATTATTGATGAAAAGACAGCAGACATCAAGCTGAATAAACTGCCTGACAGAGAGTCCAAGTACCTGATTAATGGAACATATTATGCCAAAATTATATGTATCTCCAATGGTGAGTTCTGTAAATATGACAGTCATCATTATTCCACTATGGACGTACTGTATGCGGTGTTCAACAGGTTAATGCAATTTCTCTTCTTTGGCTTTCAGAGACACCCTCAAAAACTGCCACAGGGACCATAGCCATTCAGGTGGAGGACTTTAATGATCACTGTCCAAAACTGACCGCTACAACTCACACCATGTGCCTCGAGGATAATGTGATCTACGCCACAGCAGTAGACGAGGATGAGTTCCCCAATTCAGCACCATTTGAGTTCACTGTGATTCAGGGAAGCAGCAAGGGGAAATGGACAGTGGAGCATCTTAATGGTAAGGCCATGTGAAGAGGACAGTTACTCCTTGTCAAAGTTGCGGCAAATCGCTGTTAAATGGGCGGGGCTCTAAAAGGTTTTTATTACAAATTCTGTATTCAGCTCTAGTTTTTAAATCCCAAACTTTTCTAAAGACTTACAAGCAGACTATGGTCATGTTTTTTTATTGTTAATTTTCATTGGCTTCACACTGTACAAATTTGTATGAATAGCAAAAACATTTCATTGTTTACGTTGTTATGGTTCGCTTCAAATCCATTGTAATTTAAACTCCAGAATTTCTTAGCCAGGGGTGTTTTGCTCTTAACTTGCATATTACTGTTCGTTTTATTACTTTCCTGGAATGTACTTTGTCACAGACTGCATACCATCTCAGTATTACAGCTTCACTGCACTGCCGTTGTGCATTGAATCATTTTTTATGTTATAAGCTACACTTTTCCTGCTATGCAAAGTAAATGTCTGTCATGAAAAAGTTCCATCTTGGCTTTTTAACTGCTGTATAATAAAAAGGAAGCATTATTACGTATCACAAACAAACATATATATAACTTGTGCAGCAAACCTTAAAATTTGTGATTCGTCCTTTTTCAGAAACCACAGCCATCCTGCGAGACCAAGCCAAATTGTGGCCAGGCATCTACAGAGTGGCAGTGGACGTCAAGGACCAGCAAGGAAAGTCGTGTGGTGATGTTCAGATGATGGACGTAACAGTATGCACCTGCCATGAAAGCACTAAAACCTGCATGTCACGCCAGACAACGACTTCAGGTTTTGGAGCTGCAGGTGTCCTGCTTCTGCTCCTGGGACTGCTGCTACTGCTGTGTGAGTGAACTATTTCTGATTTTTTTTCCCCTTTTTGTATGTTTCGTTTTTAACTTTACCATACAAGGTTGCCACAAAATCTTGGCTATGCTGTCCTTATTTTGATTCCATATGTTTATTTTACACACACACACACACACACACACACACACACACACACACACATACATATATACATATATATATATATATATGTATGTTTATGTTTATGTTTATTTTTCAGTGCTGCCCCTGCTGCTGCTGTTCTGCCTATGTGGAGGTGCTGCAGCTATGGGAAATTTCAAGCCCATTCCATTTGATACGAAACAAGGGCTAATCTCATATCACACCGAGGGACAGGGAGAAGACAAGGTACTTTGATCAGTGCAGCGTTGATATGAATGGATCTTATATAATGTTTAGATATTTTTAGTTTTGAAAATGTGTTAATCACGTTTGCCTAAAATGCTATGTCTGTAATGGAATCTCATATTTTTGTCACAGGAAGTTCCTCTTCTACATGTCCCAGTGGAAGTTGATCATGGCACAGTTAATGCCAATGACGGCAATGGGGCAAATGGGTACGGAGAACTTGGAGGAGGAGCTGGGGGAGGCCAAATTTTTATAATCAATGACAAGAAGAATTACGGCCATTACGTCATGGGTCAAAAGGAGAGGGAAGTACCCGTTTCAGGAATGATGATAGGACAAGAAGACCATTTCTCTCAATACGGAGCTGGGGCCTTTGATGGGATGGCTCTATCTGAGCAGTTCCTGGAAGAGTATTATTCAAGTGTGAGTATCTTAAAATTTAATTGAAATCACAATAGGGTAGAATTANTATATATATATACATATATATATATATGTATGTATGTTTATGTTTATGTTTATTTTTCAGTGCTGCCCCTGCTGCTGCTGTTCTGCCTATGTGGAGGTGCTGCAGCTATGGGAAATTTCAAGCCCATTCCATTTGATACGAAACAAGGGCTAATCTCATATCACACCGAGGGACAGGGAGAAGACAAGGTACTTTGATCAGTGCAGCGTTGATATGAATGGATCTTATATAATGTTTAGATATTTTTAGTTTTGAAAATGTGTTAATCACGTTTGCCTAAAATGCTATGTCTGTAATGGAATCTCATATTTTTGTCACAGGAAGTTCCTCTTCTACATGTCCCAGTGGAAGTTGATCATGGCACAGTTAATGCCAATGACGGCAATGGGGCAAATGGGTACGGAGAACTTGGAGGAGGAGCTGGGGGAGGCCAAATTTTTATAATCAATGACAAGAAGAATTACGGCCATTACGTCATGGGTCAAAAGGAGAGGGAAGTAACCGTTTCAGGAATGATGATAGGACAAGAAGACCATTTCTCTCAATACGGAGCTGGGGCCTTTGATGGGATGGCTCTATCTGAGCAGTTCCTGGAAGAGTATTATTCAAGTGTGAGTATCTTAAAATTTAATTGAAATCACAATAGGGTAGAATTAAGATGATGATAAATACACTACTGGTCAAAGGTTTTAGAACATTTAAGCTTTTCCAACTGTTTAAATGAACATAATTCAGTCTCTCTGTGTTTCTGAAATAAAAGCAATGAAAAGAATAAATAATTGAAGTTTTTAAAAACAAGGAATCGGAGAACATTTTTATTGAACTCATTCTAATTGAATTATTTGACTCATCCAGCAGCCAGTCACACTCATGATGTTATTTCTACAATGGAAATCAAATGATCCAACATTGTTGCAGAAGTTCCCACAAATGTGCTGCACTTGCAGGTTGTTTTGGTATCACCTTCTGTCTAGTTCATCATGGAGTGAATGTTTTGGCTCATTATCGCCATGTTAGGATGAACCCCTGATCAACCAGTCTGTCTTCCTTTGTTACTCCCCTTTATTTCATCATTCTGATAGCAGTAAAACTTCCTGAAGTACAGTATTGTACTAATAATGCATCAGAGGGTGTAGTGACACAGTTTGTTCCAACACTGCTTTTTTACAGACAGAGGATTTGTAAGTAACCACAAAAATTTGGGGCACCAGTAAGAAATGTTTGCATTAGCTTTAAAGGCTTAATTTACTTCCAATTCTGCAGGTAAACTGTAAGTTAACCAATTTTTTTTTTCAAAAAAGGCCTATTTAACAGTTTTTGTTGACCTAAACTTTTTTTTATTACCTTGTGCAGCTTACCTTTCTACCATTTACACTTGAGCTGCTTAGATTTCAACAAAACTTGGAAAAATGGGGGTGTTCTAAAAGTTTTGACTGGTAGTATACATATTCAGATAAGTGAAATGTCAGTCTATTTGAAGTGCAACTCATATATTCGGATTTTATTTGTTTGCAGAAATCAAACCATGCTGTACAACAGTGCCAGCAGACGGATGCACTGCTGGTCTATGACTATGAGGGTCAGGAGTCCCTGGCAGGTTCTGTAGGTTGCTGCAGCCTTCTTGAGAACGATGATGATCTTGCATTCCTGAATGACCTTGGGCCTAAATTTAAAACCCTGGCCGAGATCTGTCAGGGATCAAACATAGTGATCGAGTCTGTGGATATCTCCCCAATCAGGCCAGTGTCTCCAGTCAGGCCCTCCACCCACACACACGTGCAAACTCACACAGAATCAATGAGGGAGAGGGACCACGTAAACATCAACACCATCAACACCTCCAATGTAGCTTCAGGATCGTCTACCATCATCCAGGATAAGATAATGATGCCCAGTCCGACAGTGCTCATACAGCAGCCCACTATGTACTATGCTGCTACGCCCATGTATGTAGTTGAGTCCCAACCCCAAATGGTGCTTGTGGCAGGGGGTACCCAGCAGCAGTCAGTGGCTCAAGTTGGGCTAAGTCAGGGGCTGGTGCAGGTTGGTGGTCTCCAGGGGCCTCAGGGTGTGGTCCTTGTGGATAGGCAGGTAGGAATGGGTGGAGTGACAGGGCAGGTAGCGCAAGGCCTTTCACAAGGAACTGTCTCCAGGTCCAGAAAAGTGTTGGTGGTGGAGAATGGGTCCTCAGGTGGAGGGCAAGGTCTAGGACAGGGGTCTACAGCACAGGGCTTGGAGGTGAGTCAAGGTGTACAGAGTTTTTCACTGAGTTCCCATGGTTCAACAGGATCTCATGATGACTCCTCTGTGATAGCCACACCCAAGCTGCAAGGTAACCAGAAACTGGTTGTGCAACATAAGAAGGTATTAGTCACTGAGAGAAATTTTGAATCTAGTACAAGAGCATAAGGCAAACCTTTTGTTTTGCATATTCACAAATTTCACATTGGTAAAAGGATAGTTTAGTTTGCTTTGCCTAAAGTGCAATAATGTATGTTGTCTTCTGGCAACACTAACACTACTGATCATACTAGTTAACACATGGTATTGACTTCATGACAATCTTGGCCATAAAAGGCATTGGGTTTCCATAGTTTTACTAGGTAGGAAAATTACTCATTAATACCAAATAGTGCTTTAATTTCTCGTATGCTACCTGTTAAAATGAGGCTGTGGTAACATTAGCTGAAAATGTACATGTTATAGTATTTGTGTAAAGTACGCAGTAGAACTGCAAGAAAACAGATTCTTTGACCCCTGTTAAACCTTGGCTAATGACCGTTTACCTTAGGCACCAAATGACAGCCCTAAAAGCACTCTATTTATTTCAGGTACGCTAGTGTGGCTGCAGGGCGGGAACAGTCAAAGTAAACAGAACAGAACTAGACCAGTCAGACCTACAGTGTCTACTTACCTATTCAAACAGAAACTAAGAACCTCAGTCCGAATCTCCTAGCCAAAAAGAAACTGGAACAAGCAGAGAACAGACAAAAAGGCCACCCACCTACATCTCTCAGGGAAGAAATAAGTGGACACTTATCAAAGTTTAAAGTCAGATCAGTGAGTTCCCTTCCTATTCCAGCTCCCAACCTGCCAGGCTAGAGTAGGGAAGGGAACCATTGGACTGGTTGTAGCTGGTCCTGTATCCCTGAGGGCTGCATTTGGGAACCAATCACCAGCCAGAACTCTGCTGAACAATCAAACTAGCCAACCAATCATAGCACCCCGACTGCAGGTCAGACACATCTACACCTCAATAAGAACAAAAGGAGAGAGAAATGCAAAACATATAATGTACAAGTACACAGAAAAAAAGATTATAGTTTGTAACATCAGACAGATAGTGGGAACCAGTGATAATTTGGTAACGTTACTATAATAGATGTAGGATTGGAAAGCGGAAAATGAAATGTTTGAAAGTTAATAGTCATGTCATTGGTATGGATCAATACTCTTTTTCAAACAGCAGTTAAACTCTTACTTATTGCTCTTTTTGATAAGAATAGCACAGAACCAGTTTCAGAACTCTGAAAACAGTGTGTCCATAGAATTCCTGTTGAAACGACCACACAATGATACATTTTAAAGTCACTTGGGCAGAGGTAGAGATAAAGTTTCTGCACTTAGTATCACGTTTGCATTAATCCATACAGGCTCTGCTCCAAGTGCTGTATATGTTTGTGTGGTGTATTCTTAAAGATACTTGTTTTAGCTAGCCTTAGCTATGCCATAAGTTGTCCAGCTTACCTTTGGCTTGCTGTTGCTACTTAGTTATACTGTAACTAAGAGAGAATTGTTATATGGGTGGCTTCCTTGGAAACAGCTGGTAACATAGATAAATGCCATTCATACAGTACAACTGATGAAAGCACTGTTCACAGAAGGAGCAACGTGTTTGAATGATTTATTGCATCAAGAAGGGATAAAATTCTTTATCAGTATGAACCACAGTCATTATAGACTATAAACCAAAGGAGACAACACTACACAAGTTCCCTATTGTATTGTTTCACTTGTACAATAAGACAAGTAACTCCAAAAAAGTGCCAAAGCTGTTAATTTTTTTTTCTTTACAAATGTATATTGTGACATAATTCCTAGATATATTTTTAATATGTTTGTCATGTTATGGGTAAGGTAACATAATTTGTGTATGTGTATGGGAAAAATGAGCTTGCCAAGCACTGAAAACATTTGGTAGAATGACATTGTTTGATATTGCTGTTCTTGCTATTGATATGTATGTATTTTTGTCTCCAGTACATGATGTGCTGTATGAATATAGCGTATATTGCTTTAGAGCAGAACAGTACTAAAGCAGCATTATAGTGGGGATGTTTTCTTTTTTTAAGTTTTGCACCTCATATCAGAATAAAATCAAACTGAAAAAAAACAGTTGTATTGGCCATTTCTTTCTGAGTAAACAGATCATATAAAACATAGTTTTGCAATATATAATAATACAGATCATGTCAAGTATTGTACATCAGGGATCAAACACTGGTATGTGACCTCATCTGAAGATTTAACAATATTTATATTTATTAGATTGTTCATTAGATGAACAATCTAATGAATATAAATAGGTTTAACTGATGCAATGTTTCAGCCGTATAGCTTTCAACACGGAGGACATCATTCAGATCAACTGTATTTGTATACACAGCAAGTCAGATGCAAAGAAGTACATCATTCCATTATATTTTATTTTGAAATACTTCATTTGAAACTATGGTTTGGTGCTAATTGTCAAATGCACATACCTAAACCATTCAAATACTGACTGAACTTGCCAGGTTAAAAACATGAACGCAGTTCCTGACCTACACAGTTATGGCATATTTTTTTGTCAGTGAAAACACGTTTGAGTCGGTGAGGTTAAGGTCTCAAGGAATTTGCTCTAAGCTTTTCCCAAGCAGACAGCAGCATTCAACTGGTACAAGTGGCTTCTTTGTAGCTGACCAGAAAAGATTCGTTCATGCTTCACGTTAACAAAGAAGAGAAAGTAGAAAATCCGGTTTCCCCTCATGGATCAGGGTGCAAGTAGTTTACATGGAGAATGCAGGTGAAGTTGAAAAAACGGCCAGAGTGGGGTGCCAAAAGCCTGGTTTTCATCTTTCTAACCAGAGCTGAGACTTTGGCTGTTCTTTGGCCTATTGTTTATTTTAATAATATAATTAGTAACATTTTAATAAACTAATACCACAGGATGATGATCGTGCTGTTGTGATGCTGAGATGAGGGTATGTTGTGGGTTTGACTGTGCACAGGTTGAGTCGATGTGTGCTTTGTAGAAAGCCTTGGAATTTCCTCAGTAGTGCAATATTGTAGCGCATCTACATAATGTTCACATCAAGAAAAATGACACCTTTCTATTAGATATGTAAATACTAGAGAGTTATTATAGAGTTACAGAGGCTGCTTATTTGCATGATATGAAAGAGCATGTGGTTTGTTTGCTTACTGTTTCTATGCTATGTATCCTTGTGGGAAAATAAAGAATAGAGAGTGTAGTTTACTGAACAGTTATTAAAAAGTAAAATAAGATTCAAAAGAGGGACTTCTACATGTCCAGACATTTACTCCTTCTTATTCAGCTCCTGAGAGGAAGCCTCCCTGTTGTCTCATGCTGATAGAAATGTGAGCCAAGCCCTCACAAGTTTTTTCCAATCCAAAACAAGTCAGGTTAAAACAGCTTTACTGACTTATAAGTATGACTTAACAATTTTATTTTGAAATTCCAGTCCTGGCAGTACACACCTTAATAGATTCTCATTCTCTCTCTCTCTCTGTCCTTGCTTATCTAAGAGTAAAAACTTTTCCTTGCTTGTAAATGAGTTTGCAAATTTGTTGTCTTTAATTGCTTTGGTGTTATACTTGTGTCTAACCAAAACAGAAGTGTCCTCCAGACAATAGGGCACCTTACAAACATTGTTTTCCTGTCAATAGACAAAGCATTTAAAACTTCCCTGAGCAATTTCGTTAATTAATCTCTCTTCAAATCTGACACCTATAAAAATGTAAGTAAACCTGACCTGGAACATAAAAGGCCTAATGGTGTCATTGAAGTCGTCTGGCAGCTTGGAATGAATAAGACTTTCTCTATTTTCTCTTTTGCTTCTTCTATTATTATCTTTCCTCTGAGACAATTTGTTTAAAAATGATATTTGCTTCACGTCAGTCGGAAAGGAAAAGGGTTAATAACATGTAACATAACAAAATTACAAGATTATTTCTTTATTTTTCTCTAGAATTTGCTATTTTGGCCATCAGTCCTGTCAAAGCAGATGGTTTTCATCAACTCTCAGATGGAAAATTCCTGCTTTGACGGCCAGGACTGGGGTGTGGCAAATGTGCAACATATTTCAAACCTACACTCCTTACAGAGTAGTAAGGAGTTTCTGCCCGAACTGTCTGAATGGCAACGTGTCTTGTCAGGAAGCCAAAGCATATCAGCAAGTTTCATCATGCCACTCTCATAGTTTTCATTACATGTTCAGATTCCCAGTAATTGATGCAATTTCTCTCCTATTGCTTTCTCTGCAGATTTATTCATCTTCTGTTGCTGGATTCCTCAATGTTTATTTGGGTGTGTGTCAATCTGAAGGCTCTCTGGATAATAAGGTCATAGATCAAGATGTCACAAGAAGATGTCTCAACATTTTTATGGAACTCAAACCAAACAAGATTTTTCAAACTCAACTGGTTGCATCACGTTATTTGATGCTTCACATTTTAGAGGTTGCCATTCATCATCTTAAAAGGACCAAAATTTGTCCAGAGATAAAAGGTATTTTTGTCGATGACACAGCTAACTGGATACAAATCAACCTTGTTAGTCAGCCTCTCACCTGGTTTTTGTCTTTCGTGGGATAAGTTGAGGGCCTATGTTCCGATGAATTAATATCAAGTTTGCCCTATATTTGCCGTTACACCTCTGCAGCTATCAAATAAAAACATGACATCAAGTATTGACAGGAGTGGATGTTTTATTTGAGACAGTGAAAGCATGTTGAAATAAATGTTACAAAACTGTGTTTAGGACAAGACTTCTTTTTTGACACTTGCAAAGCATGACTCTGAAAACCAAATACTATAATACTTGCATAATTTTAAATTCTAATACCACTCGTGATCTTTGTCATTAAAAGCCATATCTATATGCAGCATAATTTTTGCTAAACAGCTATATTTCATCATGATCTGCACACTGCAATATGTAGTTGAACATTTGCATCTATAGCGTGCTTCTTGTGATCTCACTGCACTGTTCAACAACAATTACTATTTGGAGGGACTGGTTCACTCAGAATGTCAGGTTAGTGTTTTATAATCAGTGGCGAACATCGTGGCGGACATCTTCCTCATCCTCTATTTCATCTTCTTCATATTCACCCATCTCATCTGCGGTGGCATCCTGGTACTGCTGATACTCAGACACCAGGTCGTTCATGTTGCTCTCAGCCTCAGTGAACTCCATCTCATCCATTCCCTCTCCGGTGTACCAGTGGAGGAAGGCCTTGCGGCGGAACATGGCTGTGAACTGCTCCGAGATCCTCCTGAACAGCTCCTGGATGGCCGTGCTGTTGCCAATGAAGGTGGCGGACATCTTGAGACCACGGGGTGGGATGTCGCAAACAGCGGTCTTGACATTGTTTGGAATCCATTCGACAAAGTAGCTGCTGTTCTTGTTTTGCACGCTCAACATCTGCTCATCCACTTCCTTCATGGACATACGGCCACGGAAGATGGCCGCCACGGTGAGGTAGCGTCCGTGGCGAGGGTCACAGGCTGCCATCATATTCTTTGCGTCGAACATTTGCTGTGTGAGCTCTGGCACAGATAGGGCACGATACTGCTGACTGCCCCGGCTTGTGAGAGGCGCAAAGCCCGGCATGAAGAAATGCAAGCGAGGGAAGGGGACCATGTTGACAGCCAGCTTACGGAGGTCAGCGTTGAGCTGGCCAGGGAAGCGGAGACAGGTGGTCACCCCGCTCATGGTGGCTGATACTAGGTGGTTTAGGTCTCCGTAGGTAGGTGTGGTCAGCTTGAGGGTGCGGAAGCAAATATCGTACAGGGCCTCATTGTCAATGCTAAAGGTCTCATCTGTGTTTTCCACCAGCTGGTGGACAGAGAGAGTGGCGTTGTAGGGTTCCACCACAGTGTCGGACACCTTCGGGGAAGGCATGACACTGAAGGTATTCATGATGCGGTCGGGGTACTCCTCGCGGATCTTGCTGATGAGCAGTGTGCCCATTCCTGAGCCTGTACCTCCGCCCAGAGAGTGGGTGAGCTGAAAGCCCTGGAGGCAGTCGCAATTCTCAGACTCCTTCCTCACCACGTCCAGGACCGAGTCAACCAGCTCAGCTCCCTCGGTGTAATGACCCTTGGCCCAGTTATTCCCTGCTCCACTTTGACCTGTATGGTGGAATGTTTCAAGACAAATCATTTGTACAGACATACATGGTCTCCAGAGGATGGATCCTAATGACTATGATGATCTTGTAATTTTTCATCTAGCACCACCATAAGCATTACAGCCATTAACATTTTTTATATTTAGCAACATGTCTTGGCTGCATTGTCATGAAATTTACAGCCATAATGTCTAGACATGGTAAATTACATTCCTAATGACCTATAATTGTCTGGTTTAGATTTGATTCCATTTTTATTATCATAAAGCTTATAGACACTTCCTCTGTTTGTCTGTTTCCTGGTAAGGAGAAATGGTTAGTCATCCCATGATGCAGTTTTTTTTTCTTTTTTTTTTTTGGCCCCTGTATCGTCACTTGTGATCAGCACTGCAGCAGAATCTCCTAGTAGATTGCTTTTTCGCTGAGTCACTATGAGAGCTGTCTCAGTCTGACACAGCTGCACATGGACAATGCATCACAGCGCTGGCACATCGCTGAGAGGCTGCAGAAGCTTTGTGCTGGGAATATACAGTACTCTGCAGTGCTCTGAGGTGAACTAAGCACAGCTTTTTCAGGATATGACAGCACTTGCTGACATGCACACATATCGTACGCACATATTGCAGCTGGTTCAGGATGAATGGTTGACATCATGATTTACTGTCCACTCACCAAAGACAAAGTTGTCAGGCCTGAATAATTGTCCAAACGGGCCGGAGCGAACTGAATCCATGGTTCCTGGCTCCAGGTCCACCAGAATGGCACGGGGGACAAATTTGCTACCTTTGAAGGAAAAAGAGCAGAAGATAGAGGGATAGGGAGAAGTAATGGATGGAAGGGTGGGGTAAGCTATCGACAGTCTCAGCGTGCATGATGGCAGAGCGTTCGTAGTGATCCATGGAAAAAACTGTATTTCAAGTGATTCTTTTCTCCATTTTCTATATAAATAAATATACAGGTCTAAAAGGACATTAATTGAGCAGTACCGTTTGCTAATGTAAACATTTAGGTGAACAGCCTTTATGTTTAAAGGACACCACAGCCTCTCCATCAGGCTGGACATATTTAAAGACAGTGTGGTGCCTCCTGTTGTTTGTTTATGGCACTTTACCTTGCTCCACCCTCTCCGTCTGTGACCCCTCTTGCAAGCAAACTGCTGCAGCATGCTGCACTGCTTATTCTAGACCAGCGGGGCTTTCGAAGTGCTAAGCTCTGCAGAGTCCATTCAAATAAAGATGCAATCATCCCCTACCCGTGCCTCTTTTTCATCTCATCCCCATCTTGCCTGCTCAAGTCTTAATATTGCTTGCCCCTGTGAAAATCTGCCAGTTTGTCCTCTTTAGTTTTAACGAGAAATTGATTAGTAGGAATGCTCAATTAGTCTACATGCAATATTAAGCCAGTAGGCGACACTGATGTCAGCATGCAACATGGAAACAAGGGATCAATAATGCCAGCTGTTAGGAAATTGGATAGGGGTAGGCCGTAGTGGGCTTAATGTGCAGGCCTTTTTTTTATTTAGCAAAAGCAGATGAATGGGCACTGTTTGATCTCGATCCTGGATACAGATCTGCACTGACTTGTCCTTCTCTTAAAGGCTGAAACACAGGAGCTAGTGCTTTATGATTACGGCCGTCATTCACCGCATACTGCTCGACTGCTTAATGCACGATGGCTGGCTCTGAGCAGCAGCACAGGGTGCATTTGGAATGACCTTCAACATGCCACGCCAATAAAATCAGACACTGAAATCAGACCGAGGCACAGTGAGCTCGGGAGAGGGGGGGGGGGGCTATACAGAGACTGCAGATACCTGTACTCCCTATAGAGAGAGAGAGAGAGAGAGAGAGAGGGAAGTAGAGAGACAGAGAGAGAGATATTTTAGCAGGTTCACTGTCCTAATTTTTCCCTGCACTCATGGTGGGACCTACTTTCCCCTTGCAGCTATATTAATGACATGAGCATACAGTGGCATTCAAATGAGGTCTGTGTGATGTAAGGTCATGCAAGGATAATGAGCAATGGAAATAAAGCTCCATGTGGTGGTAAATTATTCAGATGCAAACACGTTATTTGTTTAAAACAAACATGGACTTTTTGTTTTCTTTTTTTTTTTTACCTGATGCTTCATTGTAGTAGACATTTATCCTCTCCAGCTGCAGGTCACTGTCACCTTGGTAACTACCGGTGGGATCGATGCCATGCTCATCACTTATCACCTCCCAGAACTAAGATGGGGCAAACACAATCACGCACATCTTACATTGTTGGTGGGAAGTGGGGGGGATCATTTAGGAGCAAATCCTGGTGTGAAAGCGAGTTAAAGCGTGTGCGCCAGGTCTTATTGTGGTTGTTGCGCATCTGCTCGTGGCGACAAAAAGACACGCGGCGGTGGGGGGTGGAGGGGGGGCACATCAATGCGACCGCTGGCTCCGAGCAAAGCTCAGCCAGACTGAACCCCACCCTTCTTATCAATAGACAATTAATAATCTAATTCAAACTTTAAAAACGAAAAAGAAAAAGACATTTAGCCTATTCATTTCTTCCTCTAAGAGACGCTGAATCCATAAATTATTCAACACAAAAAACCCTGGAAAATAACACGTGTGACGTTCCGCATCAAAATAACAATGACTTAGTTAATTCTCCCGCTTCTTAAATTCAATGATAATGTTTATACCTTCGCCCCAATCTGATTTCCACACTGCCCAGCCTGGATGTGAACGATTTCCCTCATGGTGCGCTGCGGATGCGGGCAGAGAGCGTCCTGTCTCGACTTCACCGGCGTCCAGTCTTCAGTCTCTTGCCGCTGTGTTTCTAAAAATCAGCACTTGCCTCATTTCTAGGGCGAGTGTTGAGCCGGCGAGATAGATAAACGTGCTGCTGATCAGATGACGTTGCACACAGCGCAGCATCCCAGTATCCCCATCAGCCAATAGGAGCGCCCTGGTTTGATGCAGTGGACCAGAGGATCATGCTGCATCATCCTCCTGACATCACCCTGTCCCATGCAGGGGAAATGTGGCCTTTTTTTCCCTTGCTAGGCTGAGGTTGTTCTGTAAAGTCTATAAGTAGCTAAATGTTTTACCTGCCAGAAAATGTAAAACTTTATCAGGGTTATACTGAAGGCTGCACATGTGCTGATTCAGTCAGATGACTGAGGTGGGTGGATGACATATTAAGAAACAAATACACAGGGAGCTGTGATGTTTTAGGCATTTTAACACTCAATATGAACTCAGTGATGTTCATGTTTTAGTGTGATAGATAGATAGATAGATAGATAGATAGATAGATAGATAGATACTTTATTTATGCCCTAAGGGAAATTCAATCAAATGCAGAGGCAGCTACAGAGAAAATGCTATGATTAGGTCAGAAATGAGCTGTTGGGCCTTTATTGACACCCTCAACCGAAACATCACCACCTACACCCAGGTTTGCTGTGTGGTTCATATTACTTTTGTTAAATTTGTTGAAGGATATGCACAGTGTAAGCATCAAGTCAAATTCAAGTCATAGCTTTGCCTAATATTTCAAATCACAAATTTGCCTCAAGGGGCTTCACAGCCAGAGTATGACACTGTCTCGACTCTGAAAAACCTTGGATTCTTTTCTCCATATTAAGTGGCAACTGGAATATAAAACAGGGTACAATGCAGGAGCCACCTTGGGAAGGGCCATTAGCTTTCCATTTTTAAGCCATGCTAGCAGCATAGCTCTTTTCAAACTGATGGCTCATCCACCACATTGATCCAGGCTGAAATATCTCAACATGTATTGGATGGATTCTCATAACAGTTTGTCCTGATATTCATGGTCTTTAGAGAATGAATCCAAATAACTTTGGTGATCGTCTTGACTTTTCCTCTTGTGCGACCATGGCCTAGTTTGGTACAGACATTAACCCCCCCCCCCCCCCCCCCCCTCCTCCCCCCACGATGAATTGTAATAACTTTGGTGATTTCTAATCACAATCACCATCATCAGGCCAGTATTCTAATTTGTCTAATACTTTGATTAATGACAAAAAAACCTGCAAAACCAATGTCATTTCCATTGTGTTTAGTGCTAATTAGCACACGTTAGCATGTTGATAAGATAAGCTAAGATGGTGAACAGGGTAAATGTTACACCCATCAATATTAGTATTGTCATGGTGAGGATATTAGCATGCTGGTGTTGCCTACACACAGCCTCACAGAGGCTACACTTTTAGCCTTGTCAATTGCAAGTGATTTCTAACTCATCAAATCAGTAAAAAGTAATACAGACAACTTTCAGGGCCCCAAGGGTCTGGGGGCGTTACTTGCTATATCTGATTGGTAACCTAGCCTTGGCTACAACCATTGTGATTTTGAAACCCTATTGCATGATTCATCTAAAAAAAATTCATATAAAAAAATGGGAGAGGGGAGTGCAAACTTTATTTTTTCAATCTTTAAAAGTCATTTTCTCAGACACAGGGCCTCCGGCCAACAGTGAAAATATTTGAATGATATATTGCTTGGGATCAACGTTGAAAAGTTGCTGTAAAAGAAAGACTCAATGAAATTCATAGTTGATCAATAAATAGTGGTTTATTTTAACAACAGGTATGGCTTATATACAAGTGCATTATGTCTGTTAAAACAAAAACAAAATGAAACCAAAGAATTGGAAATTATAAATGGTACAATCCATGGTTTTTACATTCATTCAAATCTCCCGTCGAGAGATTTGGAGTCGCACGGTTGAGAGAAGCAAAACCTGAAATGTGTACACTGGGGACTTCATGTCTCTGAGACTTATTTACCAAGTTCAAAACTATTCACCAGTCCATCCATATTATGATCCACGATCTTTCATGTTATCCACACATTTACTATTTACAAAGACATAACCCATTCTTCTTCTTTTTTTTCTTTTTTTTTGCTTTTCCACCAGTGAGTGTTTGCCTGTCTACCCTATCGCTGGTGCTAACATTGCTTTGGATTGCTTTCACTGATTTTTACTTTTTAATTTTTACTCCAAATGAAGTCAAACCAAATGCTTACTACGAATGACGAAATAGCTCCCATCAGCAGTGTGGAATAGGAGTTGTGAAAGCAAAAGCAACAGATCTCAGAGAAGCCTCTGGTTGTATTGTGCTGTGTCATTGTCTTTACACTGGTGTTGCATGGGGTTTTGGCGATACACACAGTTCTATATCTGCAATACGCACACTGAGACAGAGAGACCAACACTCACAGACAACGAGAACTCGGAGTAATGTGAAGCTACTGACCACCGCAGTCAACCCACTCTCTACTGCAGATGCCAAGAATTCCTTCTTATATCCAGGTTCAACATCCTGTTCCACAAAGTAGATTACATGTGGGTCTATTGCAAAAAGTTAATATAGTCATTTCTTTATTGTATTCAAAATCCCACTTCATTTTCCCTTTTTTTTTCTTTTCTTTTTTTTTTTTTTTTTTGACTGTCAAGATGCCATGCTCCACCATATCTGACATCACATGATTGCAGGGCATTGTGCTTTGAGGCTTAGCAGCATGGCATACGTATATGTCAGACATTTAATGTTCTCATGAATCTATCAATAAATGGAAGTTTGTTGACTCCATGATCTGTTAAAAGATCATCCATGAATCGACCAAAAATAGAGCTTTCATTTTTTGATTCAAGCTTCATTTGAGAAAAAAAAAAAACAAAAAAAAAAAACCACCAGGCAGGTTTGCCCACCCATTCAGATACCAAACGATATGCGGCCTTCATCAGTGCACGTCTGACTTGGATAAAAGCAAAACGACAATTTTGGTGAGTAAAGTACCTGTAAGGTTCTTCGTAAGTGTACCACAAGATGGTGAGAGTAACAGAAGACCTTCCGTTACGTCTGTTAAGTGTTGTCTTCGACTCCTGAATAACACCTTAATAGATCATCAATACTCCCTGGATAAATGTCATGATATACTGTGAGAGAGTTTTATCACATTTGAAATGACGAGACATCATTCAGTTGGCTCGAAAGTTTTACAGTACGTTGTTATTGTTATTATTATTATTATTATTATTACTTATTATTATTATTATTATTATTATGAGGATTGTTGTAAACAGTGGTCTATCTGTAATCACATATCTTTCTTTGACAAATATTACAACCTCCAATGTATGAAGTATGTAACTGCAACTGTCAAAGTTACACACATAGTTAAGTCAAGTATAATTCTGTCCATAGATGGACATGGACTTTGGATGAAAAAGTGCCTCCTTAAGCAAGAGTCTGTCAATTTAAGATTATGAATAGGTTTATCTATAAATAAAGATTTGACCTGTATTCTAAAATGTCATTTTGACAAATATATGAAATATTGCATTTTTTTTTTTTTTTAAGGTAAACTTAGTTTTGCATGTGAATGTATGAACACACTGACATACATGAACTACGTTAATGCCAGAACATGATTTGGGAAACACACTGAGAAAGTTAGCAATGTTGTGACAGTTGGCAATCACATCAAACATTTTGTCATCCATGGGTTTCATCGTGTGTGTGTGTGTGTGTGTGTGTGTGTGTGTGTGTGTGTGTGTGTGTGTGTGTGTGTGTGTGTGTGTGTGTGTGTGTGTGTGTGTGTGTGTGTTTTTTTGTTTGTTTTTTGTTTTTTGTTGTTTTTAAGGTTTGCTAGTTTGTTTTGCTGACACGTTCACAATTATTTTCATGCTTTGTCCCCACTGCAAATAATAAGGTGCCACCACACTGAGGTGCCACAAATACTGTTAGAATGAAGTATAGCTCTGTACAATAAGGGCACGCCATGGGAGATTGTTCAAAATAATACTTCGAATTAAAAAAAACAAAAAAACAAAACTGAATCAAGCTCAACAACTAATTTTGCATTTACTTACAATATCACATTTACAAATAAAAGCATTTGCATACCATAAATTTCATTGACTGAAACGATTGGAAAAATAAAAGTTTCTTCAAGACCGACAAAATATGGGTCATTCTTTTCACTAATATCACTGTTCATACAATGAACCACGTGTTGACGAAAGCAGTTTTAGCTCAATCTCGTCTCTCAATTCGAATTCGTCAAATGATGATACAGCTTTCAGTCATTTATTAATTTGAGAAATAGTCTCTGAAGTTTGAAATCGGGTTCTCTTGATTCACTTTAATCCACATACAGTCTATGGCAGGGGACTGCACTAAACAGTATTTCTCAAAATACTGCGTCAATACTAATGTTTGGCACTATGTCTACATTTAATTTTGGTCAGAGTAGTTTTTGGCATTGTATTTAGAAAAATCACTCCAATTTGGATTGTTTACTTCTATAACAGCAAAAAAGTACTTTGTAACATTCAGATTTCCTTGTCCACATAGTTAAGGCGATTTTTTTTTTTTTTTCTTTTTTTTTTTTTACAAATATGTTAGACGGACATTTTATTTGAGCAAAAGTACCAGTGATTAGATTTTTTTTCTGTTTGTTTGTTTTTAGCATCATTGTGTTTCTCACCAGTCCTGATGACACACCTCAGTGATTGTGGGTATAGTTGTAAGTCTCTTTAAAATGACAAACAGTGATTTCCCATTCATTTACATCAAAGTAGTTTATAGGCTGGTGATTTCCAGTGACATTCAAAAAGAGCAGAAGATACTGTCACATTGTCACAAACCAGCCTCTGGCACTCTCGCTTGCGTGGTCTCATTTATTGGCTAAATGCAGGAAGGGAGGGTTGGAGGAAGGAGAGGGGAGGGGGGGGGGGGGGTTTGGAAAAAG